GGTCACGGGCGGCATCGCTCTTAGGGCATTTCGCGGTGTCTGGAGAGAGAGGCCGCCGCCCCCCAACCGGGCATGGCAGAAACCTACGGGTGCCCATTCAAAATTCTGCCAAAAKACCCACGTGTTTAAMACCTACAGTACCTTCCCCTACAGTTCCCCCAGGCTAATGACCTCAGTTGTCGAAGCCTTAACCCTAAAAAAAAAATACATATTTTTTGCATATTTTCAAATGTTGATGCATATATCATAATTTTTCCTTGCATATTTGCATGCATATTTTGTCTATTTTAGCTCCTATAAGTTCTCATCCCTATTTATTAGTATGGCCAATGGATTAGGTTGTGGATTATTTTTCAGGTTAGACAAGATACTGAGAGAGTTGGAGCAAATGTCGATTCTGTTATTAACTGTGTTAACAGCTGTTTGGGCTCCTTTTAAAGAAGGGTTACGTATTCGGCTGTATAAATGCTGCTATAAATATGTAGATGGAATATAGTTGGATAGTGTTTTGATGTATAACTGAAATTCCTATATCGGTTGAGGTTTTGGATATGTCTGTATTTTTTTCTTTCATATTGTGATGTATCTGTATATATTTGTGAATTAGTAAGGATACCACTATGGATTAATAAAATTCAGTAAACAAATTTCTATAAACAATTTCAGGTGTTTCTTTTTTTAAGTGATCAGTGATCACATAAATTAGTATCAATTTTGTAGTTGTGTGTACATTGGCCATCGGAAGATAAAGCAAGAATCATGTTGGATGACTGAGTTGGAGGAAATATTGTTATCTGACATTTATTTCAGGAGTCTTGCGCTTAATGTTTTTTTAATTTTCATGTTAAGCTCAAATATCGAGGCAAAAATATTCTTATTTATATAGTGGATTGTTGCGTTGTCTAGCGTTGAAAAAATGCTATCTATGTTKCCCCCCGTAACCCCGACAGTAAATTTTACGTTTCATATGTCACGCAGTGGACTGACTTGGGTCATTGACTGACACGCAATCTTAATGTATAATAAATTAACTTTGAGTCCCAATCCCATATAACATATTTTAATGTAATGTTTTTATTTGTATTTTAAATRTGTTGATGTTAATACGAATGAACTATTTATTATATAAATAAATACATAATATATAACATATTCAAAGTGGTGAGGGTCTATGTCCTCTTAGCCTCATRGATTCGCCACTTATATGTGTGTAATGTTTTGCGCGTCAGAGAAATCCGAGAAGCAGATAAACGTAACCACGTGTTATAATAATATTTACC